AAATGCATGAATAGAAAATATATGACTTGTAATCTAAAAGTGAAAGCTTTTGTCGATGATGTTTTGGTTTATTTCATAGAATATAACTAGAATATAGATTATAAATCCGTGAGTTTTCTTTTTCTTTACACATCTACATGTTAAATAGGACTCATATCTTCTACCGTCATACAACAAACAGACCTTCTTCTACTGTCTTCAGCTTTCATGTGCGTGTGTGCGTAATATTCCAGCTCTGTTGCCAGGTCTTGTTCCCACAATTCTATTGGCTTTGTGATGAGGGACTCTTAATTGTTTCCAGTACAAATCTGCATACAGCTCAGTGAAAAGAGCAGCAGGCAGAGGGAAGGGGGTGTGGTGGTGCAGTTGATGCTGGTACCTCACTTCTCTGCCAAATAGAATGAAAGGAGAGGGGGAAAAAAAACATATTCTTTTGACCCATTCTCATGTGGTTTTTATCTACAGTTCCTGGGCTTCAAATCTTGGAATATCTGGCTGCTTTCTGAGACAAGTGAAGTGTTTGAAAAGTTGTGTGGTAATTTGTTTAGATGGAATGCATATGTGTGTTATTTTTAAGAGAAGTGAGTGAGTCAGAATCTTAGAAAAGACAATTAGTCAACTATCTTTTAGCTTTAGCTCGTTCTACCTCTTTCCATGTGGCTTAAAAGGAAACAAACACGGTTGAAACAACAACAGGACTTCTCTGTGCTCACTCAACCTTTGCCTTTGACACTCTCCATTCCAGCACTCTCTTTTCACCAGGAAACCAGAGCATTTTCACCCTAATCTGTCTGCTCTGCAGCTCTGTTCCTTTTCAGTATAAACCTTTCTCTGCCCACTGTGGCATTTGCTGCTGTGTTTTCACACAGCACCCAAAATTGCTAGGGGCAACTTTAAGTGAGGGCCTTTGAAGAAGGGGGAGGAGGATATGAAAAAAGCTATACCTGGCAACGCACAGTGCCATTAATCCTGTAATGGTACAGCTTCTTCTATCAAAGAGATGGTTAAGGCTTCCCGGCAGGCCACCACAGAACTCTCAGCTAACTCATTACATCCTTTTTGCCAGGAGGGTAGAAGAGAAAGATGAAAAAAGTCTAATAAGGTTCAGCTGGCCTGAGTTGTTTTGAGTGGACTGGAGTGAATGTGAACAAGGGGAAAAAGTGAGACAAACAAGAACGGAATGAAAAGTGCAACTCGGAATAGAATGGAAGCCTAAAAGTAGCCTAAAATCACAGTACAAAAATATGCAGCCAGGACTGCAGACATATAAATGCTATACATACTTCAGGGTTCAGCTGAGCAGATGTTTAAGATTTGAAGGGATGAGCGTGAACGGAAGCTATGGAGAAGACAAGGCCCAGATCTGCAGTCTGGGGCTGCATTTTTTCCATCTGGACTTCGACTAAAAAGACACCATAGAACAATGGAATTGAATGGATATCAGCCACAAAGGCTTTTTTTTAAAACTTTTTTTCCTTCTTTTTTTACTCACTGGAATACCAGAAAGTTCCACATGTCAGTGCTTCTGGCCAAAAAATTTCAGGGGTCAGACAGAGAAAGAGAAATACCATAAGCAATG